CTCCCGCCGCGCGGCGCCGCGCCCCGCCCCCCCCCCCGGGCTTCGGATTCACCTCGAGTTCTACGCGGTGGTCTTCGCCGAGATCCATGTCGCCGAGGTACATGATCTCGATGGGAAGCTCACAGCCGATCTCTCGCAGGGCATAGATCGTCGTTAATAGGTAATGCGCCTGGCCATCACCCGCAGTAAGCACGATGCCTCGCCCGCCGTTCTTGAACTGGGCATGCAGCGTCATGTGGTCGGCGAAGTACGGGGTCGTAAACGGGAATAAGAGGCGCGAGAGCCCGGCCAGGAAGCTCCGGAAGGTCTCGTAGCTGTGGATCGTGCTGCTCAGGGACATGTCTAGGCTCGTGTCCTGCGTGCCGGTGCCGCGCAGGTACTGGATCACGTCGTCTCGGATGTATGTCTCGCCCGTCTGCTCGTCCGTCACTAGGTGCAGCTTCTCCCATGCGCGCAGGTACTTCCCGTATGCCCGCGTCCGCAGCCCGAGCTCCCGCATCCGTGACGCGCCGCCGTCATCGATGGGCCGGAGGAGTTCGCGCGTGGTTAGCTCGTCCGGGAGCAGAGCGAAAGCAGCTTTCAGGTCATTTCCGAGGTTCGGCCTGTCGCCCCAATGATCCGAACCCGATTCCTCTTTTTCGAGCTCCCGGTTGAGTTTCTGGATATTGGCGGTCTGCTTCTCGGTTTCTTTTGCTATGGGCGCTTTTACTACGGGGTTTTCGGGCCCGGGCGCCTTTGGCGACGCTCTGTTTTTCGCGGAGGTACCTGTGACTGGGTTCTGGGCACCGAATGACCGCGGTTCCTTTCGCGCAACGAATTGCGACGATCGGTCGTCTTGCTTGTAGGTAGCCTCGGAGACGGGACTATTCATGCCCCGTAGGCTACTAGATGCCGTTGATCGATACCCCTCCAAGCGCTCCAACACCCCTGGTCGAAAGAAGGTCGAGTAGACGATAAATGATAGTAGGACTATGGTGAATAATATGATCTGCCTCCGACGACGTAAATACCGGCGCCTGCGGTCGGGCGGGGCGGGCGAGAGGAGGCCAGGAGGGAACCGGCCCTCTTTGGGACCTGACGGCGACTTCACAGACAACATTTCGGCTGAAGTGATGAGACGATACCCAACGTCATGTCTCGGATTCCGGAGTCATCAGCTCTGGGATGGAATTTACTCGTGAAATCAAAAATCTCGTTTACCGTCATGCGGGAGAATGGATACAGTTTACTCGCAGATGGACTCTCCTGGTCGTCTGGGGCGTTGCTCAGTCATCGCTAGTTAAACTACCGGCGGTTCGACCGGGAATACTTCTGGCTCTATCGCGCGCATGGTCTTTTCACATTCAGGCTTCTAGATAGGGCTGGCGGGATCTCGTCATGGGGCAGGAACTAAGCTTATTTTTAAAATCGCAGGCCATCCTCCTGCCCTCGATCCTCTCTCATGGGTATAACCCGTCATAAATGGCAACCCACCTCCCGCTTCGAGCAGGTCTCTATAGATAGTCAGCGGGTAAGTACTTGAGCTGCTGACCGCGCTCCGGGCCGTATAAGCCTGGATTATGACCACACCCAAGAGGCAGGTTGTAACGTTGCCGCGTGCTTATGAATTCGATCCCATTGCTCCACGCCGTTGAGAAAGCACTCGTGTCGAGTTGGCCCGGTTAGGACTATGTGCTTGGCATGGAATGTGGACGCTCCGTAGATGGGTGGTTAGTTGTTACATTGGTGGAAATCCGCTAGCTGACTGCTCCGTAGCTGAATCGGGATGTCGATCCATCGGGCATACTTATTGCCTACCGACTACCTAGATTGGCCAAAGTCAAAGCTGTCCTGATTGACAGATTGGTGAAGACGCGGCGAAGGTATGGAAACCCGGAAGTCGGTATTGGGGCGTCTGGGCTTTTGAGGTCGTTGTTTAGCGCTCATGTTTCGCGGTGTTTCCCTTTCCATGACGGTAACTAGATACGTGTTCAGTGCGGGTGAATCCTATACATTCGGGCCCATATATGCCGGCACGGCGCCTGGGAGGCTTGCGCTGGATGATCACGGTGTTGTATCATTCGTGTGGTATACGCACATGCTCCGGGCCTGCCCGTTGAAGCAGTCGAGACATTCTGCTGATTAAGTACTGCAAGCATCTACGAGCCCAGCATGCCATCGTGAAACGCTATGCGGCGCGCTCCGGCGGTGAATAAACAAGTAAATAATGCCATGAAACCCCCCACGCAGAAGCAGCAATGTAGGTATAGCACACAATTCTTGGAGTATGCCCGCTGTTATGATATGATGCTTACGGGCTGGGGAAGACGGATTACGAGCGCGAAGCTGCGCAAGGGAATCATGCAGCTCGCTTAGATTCTGCTGTCGCATGCCACCGCAGCAAACCATTATCCAAAGTCCAGCAACGCTGACGATGCCAAGCCCCTCTATCATGGCCCACACCGTGAGCATCTCCCGCCACGGCATCGCATGCGCTTTATTCTAGATAGCTGTGATAGCGTGTCCCCAACGCATATAGACCAGCTGAGATAGACGTGAGGCAGAACATGGAGACCATCATGCAGCGTTAATTG